CATGATTATCTTCGAAGTTGCTGGCCACTATCTGAAGAAGTAACAAGTGACAGTTGTCCCAATAGTCAAGTAGCAATCCACACTGGGAAAAGGCTCGCAGATTGTAGCACCTCCACCTCCAAAGCATCAAGCAAGCCGCAAACAGAACCGTCTTAAGGCAAACAAGTATCCACTTGAAATACTACGCCGCCCAGGCCATCCGAAGCAGCCAGGTCTGATCCGGGCCTCCACCCGGCCCTTGGAGTAGCCAGACAGAGGTGTCCGATTTGGAAAATCGATGGCCCTGGTAGATGATTGCACCACCAAAAAGACCAGGCATCGCCCTCTAATTTGCCACCAAGCCCACCAAAAAGACCTTTACGGCCGGAAGGGTAGCAACTGGCAGAGGGCACCTGAGGTCCGTTAGAACAAGCGAGGGCGGCCTCCTTGCGCCCCTTCAAAAAAAAAAACAGCGACGGAGGGAGGCCGCAGGTCCGAAGGAAACACGTCCGAGCACCGGTTTCTGAAAATCGCACCCCCCGAAACCTGTCAATAGGCTTGCGACCACTTCAAGTGACAGTTCTCAAAAAAAAAATGCAGTCTTTGACCTATACCCCCTCCAAAACCGGCCAATGGGCCCTGAACCTCCCAAACTGCCTTCACCAGGGTCAGCTTGTCGGCCATGGAGAGACTCACGTCCAGCACCAGCGCCAGCTCTTGCGCCGGATCCTCAGAAACCTCGGCTTCGCAATTCGCAAGCCACGCCGCGCTTCGGGGAGCCGACGGGAGCGCGAGCCCCTCGGTGTCCGGCGGTCGCGTCGCCTTCCTTGGGCCCTAAGGTCAGCTTTGGGGAGGGACTGCCTGGGAAAAAGGGGAGCAACTCATTGAGGAAAAATGACTCATTTCAAAATTTGGAAAGAAACATGAAAAAGAAACAACGAGAGGAGCAGGCACAGCGCCCGCCACAGTGTGACCGCGGAGAGAGAAGAGCCCTGAAGCAAGCCAGCGAACTAACGCTCCCTCCCCAGCTCAAATGAGCCTAGCTACAGGGAACCGGATGGGAAAAGGATATTGGAGCATCTTCGTCGGGCTTGCAATACCTGTGACGGCATCATCCTGTTTTCAAGGTTCGCTGATAGGGCGAAAAGGCCAACGCAAAGTCATGCAGAGGTTGGACCACTGCATATGGTTGCACCATCCGCGCAAGAACCTGCAAGGCTGGCCAGATTGAACACTTGGGGTTGGAACCAAGGACCGCGGACAAATACCTGTCTGATCCCCCACAAAACACTCCTTCGTAGAGAGGTGTCAAAGTTTGTGAGTCTGGAAAGCACGTTTGACCCCATTCAGTTCCTCGTGTCTCCGCCGAGTCTTGTTCGCGGGCTGCCGGGGACTTGAGACTCCCACTGGCGGGGGCGTCACATCCACCACCAAGACCTGCCGGTGCTCACCTCGGGTCAAAGGCCAAAAAACAGCCTGACCGGCACCGCCCCCGCATAGACAGGTAGGATGGCTGGTGCCTCTGACCAACGAATAGCATCTTAGCGAATTGTGTGGAGTGGTCGGCAAGTGTTAAGATTTGATCCTGTAGGGTCTTCTTTCGATGATGCAACAAACGCTCGCCCGCAGATGCAGCTAGAACGCTGGAACCGTGTTCCTTTTCATGGTAGCCAGAAGGCAAATGGGTGTTTCTAAAACTGGTGGAACCCCTTTGGTATTTATTGGGCGGCCAAGCGCAAACCAAGCATTTTAAGATACCCATAATACACCTATTTTTGAGAAACACCCACGCAGCTTCTGTCTACTTGAAGATCCTGGTCGTCTTTTAGGCACGGGCACTCCAAACTCCAAGCTTGGCCACCCTGCTGCCCGCAGTCACCGCATTGTAGCGTGGCCGCACAGTGATGTCGACCTTGACAAAAAACAAAAAAATGGGGTGGCTCGTAAATCTGAAAAAGATTCATCTGGAGAGTCACGAGGATCTGGGCCTCTTTGCGAAGCAAAATGCGAAGATCCAGCCTGGGGTGCTCCTGTGGCCCGACTCTTGGAGAAAAAACAACAATGTTTGGAAAGCAGCATCTCATAGCCAGCATCATGCCAAATGATGCCCTCCCAATGGAAAGTACATATTGAATGGGCACCGTCGCACAAGGGCTGGCAAGGACCACTGCAAAATCATCAATGTCGCTGCACAATGGGCAGATGACGCAGAACGTCATGCATGCCTGGCCAGAATCTCAACTGCCAAACCGCTGGCTGGTGTTCAGACGGCTGTTACAAATTATGCAATGAGCCTGTCAACACCGGAAAGAAGCACCCTTGAATTGCTGAAACGGCCACTGGCAAACAAACCAACAAACGAAAGAAGCACAAAGCTCCGGCAAGAGCAAACTTGCTTCGGGAGTCCACGTCGCGATGGTGCGCAAAAAACTAGAGCTTGCCAATCCACTGGTGCAGGATATGTATGCAAACATTAGTCCAGTATGCCGACTGCATCCAGCTCCACAACGGACTCCTTGCAATATCCGTAAAGTTTCGATACGATTGCCGTGTGTTTCCCTCATGTGTTTCCTGTGAGCAAGCACGGTGCCGCGTGAAGACGTCTCAAGACAAACCCGCGACGCCTGAGCCGCGACCAGCAACGGCCTCGGCGCGGCGTGAGCCCAGCATTCGGTCCGGGATCCTAGGCAAGGGACTTTCCATATGTGCCATGCTCAAAACTGCTTCTATGGCGCCTGGCAATGGCTCCCTTACAAATCATGGCAATGGTCACTCAGGATCCTTACCAAATGACCATCCCTGTGAACCCCAAGAAAAGGGTCTGTTGACCCTGGCACATATGGGCATGTCTCAGCAAAAACCCACAGCTGGTGGCTTCCTTCTTTTTCCCTAAACAATTAATCGAGTGTCTCCCTTGGAGACACACCCACATGTACATGTGAGAGGTATGCCAGGGACCTGTGAAGTGGAGGCCTTCACTTGTCCCGTTGAAAGAATCGAGGCCAAGCATAAAACTGCGGAAAGGGGCACGTCACAAGGTCGGTTGCCTCGAAATGGCACTCTTTCTCGCCTTTCTTTCGACGGCCTCAATGGACATGCCCCCAAAAAGCGAAACCCTGGCGTCAAGTCGCAGGAAGCGGACAGGAGAACCAAACCCTTGCAGCTTGGGGCCGCGGCCAGAGCGGCCAGGCCCTCATCCGAAGCGCAGGGCAGTGCGCCTGCGCAAGAGTTATGCTTCAGGTCGCAGGATCCAAATCACGTGCTGAGCACGGGCAATGCCCCGCTGTGTGTAGGGCGGTTTTAGAGGCACGTGAACCAAAATCGGTGATCGCCTTTCCGAGAAGGGTCCGCAAAAGGGAACCATCTTCGCTGAATTTCGGGCTTGGAGGAAATCCACTGGAATCCACCGAACAACTGGGTAATGTGACCTTGAGTGAGTCCCCACATGTCGTAGACTCGATACTTTGACCAAACCTCACAAGCATGCAACACAAAGCAGTTTCTGTTTTTCGGGGATCCCCACGAAAATGGGGCGTACCCTGAAGAAAAAGACAAGCAATTCGTAGGTGCTGCAAATTCTTCCGTGCTCCAAGCCCCATGGCCCAAAACACCCGAGGCATGATATCACCGCCGAAACCGCGCAACCCGGCGAGAAACCGCGCCTCGGTGCCCGGGCAATGGCCAGGTTGGCTCGAAGTTTCAAGGGCTTGTCTGAAAAATGCGTTGCTAACCCCAAAATGGGTTGCCCTGGATAGACGATTCAACCCGCGGCGGGTCCATTTCCTGGCTTACTTTTGACCCAACGGCTTGAACTTCGAATCGAGTTTGTCCCGACCCCGTTTGCCAGAGTTTCGTAGTCGAAGGCCTCAAAATGCTCCACTTCCCCGCTTGGCAACCGTCTGAATGGCGAAAGGGCATGGGGCTATGGTCAACTGCTGTCATGGGGGCATCCATGCACTGAAATCTTGCCTAGGTCGCGCGAGAAGTAGATCTGCGGCTAATGGTACAGTCCAACCCCATGTCAATCCGAAACAGAAATCTATGCAAAAGCAACAGACACCAGATGCGTGTTGCGAGGCGAGTGGCGCGTGGCACGTGCCCCTGAGAGGGCTCCGCTTGAGCCACTGCAATGCAATACATCGGGCAAGGGCAGCAATGTCGTCGCACCATTCAGCAGAGCTATCAAAGATACGAGGATTGCCCCTGAGCCAGGTGTCCCATTCCGTGACAAGTACATCTCAACACGGATGATTGTTGGTATCGGTGCTTGTAAAACCTTGCATCTGCAGCCCCCGAAGAAAGCCAAATTGCATTCTTCGGAGTGATTGGTAGACCAAGAGTTCACTATTCGGGGCGACGTGCCCACAAGGTTTGCCGTTGTTGTTGGTTCTACTAATGTTGACCCCATATAAGTCAACACCAGTTTATTAATGGGGGGTGTCCCTGGGTGTAGTGGGGAATCATCACTTTTGGAGGGGGAACACCCACTTATTGAGAAACTGGGGTTGATTAATATGCCATCATTAGGGGGGGAACCTGAAGCAGGGAACACCTATAGAGGCGATGTGTTGTTGTTTCTTTCTTCTTGTCTTCGATTCGGGAATCCACACCCACTATACACCTAGTTTAACCCTTTTTGGCTCGAATGTCTAAGCCTCCATTTTGGGTCCCAGAGTTCAACCTATGAGGCGCGGAAGCGAGAATCCATGACTATGTCTTCAGGAAGGTGTCACAAAGTCGGAAAATCGCAGTTGCAACATCTTCCAATGGTAGTGATCATTGAACACCCCCGCAAGCGGGGTGTCAAAGTCGGAAAACGCAGATCTTCCAACCATGGTGATCGTTGAACACCCTTCAAGCCGCGAAGCGAAGCAAAGAAGCAATGGCTTCTCGTCCCCGTTTCTATACCAGTTAGGAAACAACTTGCCCCAAGCAAAGGATAAATGCCGAGTGGAGACAACACCAACGGCCTTTCCGCAGAAACCCCACCCTTCAGACTCCCCACAACCCTCCCGACTGGCCTGAGCCTGAGCCTGAGCCTGAGCCTGCGCTTGAGCTTGAGCTTGAGCCTGAGCCTGAGCCTGAGCCATCTTCGCCTCACACGGGCAGGCCGAAAGGCTCGGAAACCAAAGGAAATCACAGCAAGCCAAAGGAAATGAGAAGGTCAATAGGCCACTTTTCACAGGAACGGATGATCCCCCAACCGAAAAAGGCAGAATCGTCTGGCAGGGGAGTTGCGTGAGGACGCGCTTGGCAGGAACGAGGGTCCGCGAGGGATAATGCTCAAACCAAAAGGAAAGAGAGATCTCACGCTAGATCGCCGGATGCAAATTCTGTCTTGAGGATAGTAGAAACTCTTTTGGAAAAACTGTGTTGGGTTGTCCCTTTGTTTGCGAGCCGCTCGAGACCACGTGTTTGAAAGCTGTCACTGGGAAGGCGAAAAGGCACTTGAGCGTGTTCTTATCAGTTGGCAGAGCACAGCTGCGCGAGTGCACTTGAGTGTGCGGGCTTGCCGCTCGATTCGAACCGCTGGGGCAAGGGAGACTCAACATGTCCAAGCTTGCCTGTTTGTGATTGGAAGAAATGGCACTATGCATGTCTGCCTGCATCATGTACGAAGCATCTCACGAGTCGCATGACATTGTGACATGGTGGCTGGGCATTGCGGGGCGGCTCGTCATGCCACAAACGACAAAAGACGCCGGATCCAGATCCAGCGACCCAAAAAGGCATCGACACCTTTGATCTTACGAAGGCACACCCCATCCCTGATCTGTCGGCCAAACATGTAGAGGTCTGCTGGAGCTTTCTCGGAGCATGTCCAAGCGCTCAAGCATTGGAACCCCAACCGGCACACATACCCATTCATACCCTGCCTCACCACACCCACAAACTCCCAAATGCCCAAAGATTCTGTGCCACCCAAGCCCCTAGTTCAAAGTGTGCCTCTGGATTGCCCTCGAGCATGCAAGCCTCCGGTCAGCCGGTCGATTGGCCTTGATCTCTCCGTTGCCTTTCATGCATCAGTGTGAGAGTGCATCAATGCATGTGAGGGTTGATCAAGAGGCCCTTTACATGAGATGACCATTGGGGACACCATTAAAAACAGATATGTCCCACTAAATGGATAGACATTACCTATAGTCATGCGAGGGCTACTCTTGTGTGAGGGTAGCTTGCGTCGCTGAACAGCCCAGAACTCCTGAGGGATGCTTCACTTGGTTCTCTTTGAAACTACCACTGGAAGGAGAAGCTCTTCAAGGGGAAGGAACTGCGTAGGGAACGTGCAAGCAAATGCTGGATATTGCCATTCTCAATAACCAGAGGGGAAGCCAAACAACGGACGGGACGGTGAAAGAACGGGAAGGAAGAAGAGGCGTGGAGGTGAGCATTGAGGAAGCGCAGGTTCCAGCAAACGATGTGGTAGTCAGTGGTAGCCATCGTCTCGGAAGCCACCAAATATGTTCTTGCAATGTCCAGAGTGTGATAGTCAAAAGCCGCTTGAGAAACTGCGGTAAACTCAGAAGTGGTCGACCCCAGGTACGAGAAAAGCAAAACAAAAGCCCAATCCGAGCGGTTTGCGTGCCTCCCAGTTGGCCAAGGCCGCCTGGCGTCCGAACCGCGCGTGACTTGACCCAACATCCTGGCTGGTGGGACATCCGGCCATGGCTGGCTCTATATTATATGGAAACTGCAGATTCGGTGCGAAAGACTGGTGATTGATTGTTTTGCACGCACCGTGCCAAGACTCCAATCTGGACTCAGGCAAGTTACAGCGTCACTCATCCAGCAGATGTTGCACGATTTTTAGCGACCCGGTTCTCAAGCTGATCTATAGGTGCTTTTTTGGGGAGCCGGGCTTCCACCACAGGCCTAGTGGCTCCTTCGTGCCCTGAGTTTCTTGCTTAGCTCAGAAGTCACCGCACTTCCCCATTCAAAAGTTGCAACTGACTGGTGGCTTCCACTGAAACAATCGCCGCTTTTGAAGGTCCAAACATGGGGAACTGGAGTGATCCTGGCAGCTTCACTGGAATTGCTCAAAGCATCCGAGCCCTTCGATGCGTAAGGGCTATGACCAAACATTCCAGTCACCCACCTATGAGCATTCCGGGCCCATCTCATTTTGTTTTGTTAGACATTTGATGTGAGTGTCCCCCAAGTGGATCACCCCATGGTTTTCTTGCTGTGGCAGTTGCCACTATGAGCTTTCAGCCGTCCCTGCCTGGAGCACCTGTGTGGCGTGCTGCAGACGTGCAGGAGACACCCCGGGCGTCTCAGCCTCCCGGACGACGCGCCGTGCGCGTCACCCATTGACCGACTGCCAACCACCTGGTGGCTTCGCTTTCATCTCACATCCTATGGGATTCCATTTTCTCCGCCTTCATCACCCCAGCTGTGGAAGCGTCACTTCAAGACTTCTGATACAAAGAGTGGCGAAGGTCTTCTGATCTGGCCTTGTGGGTGACCAAAGTCAAAACGACGAAATGTTATTCTGAACTTCATTTGGACTCGACAGCTCCGGCCCTTCGCGTTGCATGTTGGCGGCAAGCCAGCAGTGTTTCAGGCACAGGGCCAAATGCGTTGGCACAGGGACAAATGTTTGAAAGGGCCCTGTTGAATGCGCCAGGAATGTGACAGTCCAGAATCTACTATGGGAGAGAGATACAAGCACTGGGCATCAACCTTCCAAAGAACGGAGAGGGGGATGATAAGACAAACGACAATGCGTTGCATGCAAACCACCAACCAAAACCAGATGAATGCCAAGAGAGCAGATAACACTTCAGTCACTGGTCCTCCCCCCTCTGCCTGCCAACCGCCAGGCAATTGGACCTGAGCAGACCATCGTTCCTAAGACATGAGCCCATACCTCTGTGGTCCAAAAAAGCTTGGGTTCACTGAAGGGGAAGCGGAAAGCTGAAGAGAAGACAGCCAAGATGCTTCAATGTCTCAAGGGCGGGTATGAGCCTCACTCAACCAGGGCTGGCCAAAGTGACTTTTCCCATTCTTATTGGCCAGTGTTTTGAGAGCCGAGAAGCACAGCAACAGAAGTGACAGAAGTACCAGCAAGCTGTTCTGCACACTGTGCCATCCATTGGCAAAGCTGGGAGAAACTATTCGCTTCCGTATCCTGTGCCTGAAAAGGGGGCTTGTGGGACCTCCTCTCAAACCACGCTGGTGCAAGGTTCATGGTAACATGTGAGAAGCAGCATCTGAGGGATGGTCAGCCCGCCTTCACCACACCTGGCCTCCTGTGCAGGCCTATCCCAATTTTTCGTAAGTGAGTTCCACTGGGTTCACTACAAGTTCTCAAACAAATCGGAAGCAAACTCCAAGCCGCCCCCCCGACTCGCCTTCACAGGCGCCTTCGACAAGTCCGCCTCAGGGGATGGAACTCGCCCACGGGGTGGGAAGCGACTCGCAAGCGAGTTGCGCCCACGAGTCACGAGTTCGGGAAAACGAAATGGACCAGTCCAAATGACTGGATGCTTCCCAAGACAAACCTTGGTCTTACCCCGCTTTCTTTCCCCGCCTGCGGCTGCACCATTGCCGCCTGAGCCGGCCTGGCCCATGTTTGTTTGCAAGTGGACCCATTGGCATGTCGCGGGGCACGACATAAATGATGGACTTGGGCGTCCTCTGGCTATCCTTTGTTCTAACTCCAGGGGCTTGGCATTGGCTCCAAACTTCAACCGAAGCCTGTACAAGCTCCTGACGTGCCCTTGCAAGCCATAGAGTCACGGCAGCCAAAGCCTTGCTCCTTGAGAGCTCACCCAGTTCGACGCTTCGTGGTCACCCCGGGTGAAAAACATGCACCAGCACACTGGCTGAAGCGCTGAAGCCCTCCGGGCTTCGCTCCCATCCCCACGGACTGACCAAGGAGACAAGGAGAGGAAGATAAAGCTACTCCATGCAAATCGTGGAACACCAACTTGCAGGGGGAGTATGGTGCAGAATAAGTCATGCAAAGAGGATGTTTCCGCTCAGTTGGCCAACACAAAGAGGGAGCCATCGTGCTCCATCTGACGGATGCAGGCGAGATCGCTGGCGAGCACGGCAGGATCGGAGTGCACCAAGACACACATTCCGACGAGGCTGAAGAGATCAATGGTCTTCTCCACTCGATGACCGGCATGAAGGTTCTCCTCCAGAAATACCACAGACTGGAGCTCTCGAACCTTCTGGAACTGCGTGGCTTCCACCTGGCCATCATGGTACGACACCAGCATGGACACCTGCCCAGAGGCCCGAAACGCAGGCGGCACATCCGGAAGGCCATTGAAGGCCTTGGCATCCAGAAAGGCGTCCACGCACGCATCCACCTGCGTGTAGCCCGCCATGGCTCGCGCCAAGGGCATCCAAGAACCCGCCGCGCCATGGCAACGGCTGTTGACTTCCACCAGGCAGGGTCCAGTCTCGGTCATCATCACCTCCGTGTGAGTGGCGCCGTTGGTGATGCGCAAGGCATCCAAACAGCCGCGAGTGTAGGCGATGAGTTGCTGCGCTACGGGGCTGTCGGGCAAGACGCACTGCTGCCCGAAGCACACGAAGCCCGCGCCGTTGGCAGGGCGACGGTCGTAGACCCAGACCATGGTGGTCTTGTGCACGCCATCACGGGAGACATGATCCACAATGTATTCTGTGCCCTTGAGATACTCCTGCAACAAGACGGCGGCGCCCTGGGCGCCACACTTGCGCTGAGACGTCATGAGCAGTTGGAAGTGCTCCTCCACCTCTGCCAGGCTGTGGCAAAGCTTCACCCCATCAGAGCCAGCAGACTCCACGGGCTTCACGATCATCGGCAGCACCTCCGTCTCTGCAAAGTCCTTCACTTCCTGCCAGGCCCTGCCACACACTGAGCGCACCGAGCGCAGGCCGAAGTCCCTCACGGCGTCCTGCTGCACCTGCTTGTCGCGGCGGTTCGCCATGCCGCCGGTCGTGGTGTTGCCCCGCAGGCCCATGTGCTCTGACAAGGCGTCGGCCAATTTCACCCCAGTCTCACCTCCGCAGATCATCGCCAGCGGCTCTTCTCCGGCCGCCTTGCGCAGCACGAAGGCGGTCTCAGCCAGAGTGTCTTGCTCGTCCACCTCTGCCAGGAACTTCTCTGGGAAACCCTCGGCCGCCTTGGGCAGGTGCCAGCGGTTCTCGCCACACTCCTTGGTCCACAGGGCAATCACGCCATAGCCTCGGAGGTCCAACTCGGGTGCCAGCATGGCTCCCGTGGAGTAAGGGTCCACCAGCACCACGCAGCGAGACGCAAACTCCATAGTTTGACCCCGGCACATTGTGGCTGAAACGGAGCGGACGGAGTGGACAGAGCAACAAGATTCTCTTGAGCAAGACTCTCTGGATGCCTTATGGGCCTTATGGCTATGCAAGGCTAGCAAGACTAGGGCCTCTTTCTGTTGGCGTTTGGGCTGCAATCAAACTGCTTGGGGGAAGTTCCTTCATCAAGCATCTGATATCAAGAGGAATGTTACCCATTTTCCGACACCAGTTTCCAACAATCCCCAGGGGTACACCTCGCTGACTCAAACAATGCCATACTTGGCGCAAAGCTTGATGGGCACACAGACAACAACAGAAGGTCTCGCTCACACTGCGGCATGCAACATGTCTGTGAGCAAAAAATGATGGACTTGGGCGTCCTCTGGCTATCCTTTGTTCTAACTCCAGGGGCTTGGCATTGGCTCCAAACTTCAACCGAAGCCTGTACAAGCTCCTGACGTGCCCTTGCAAGCCATAGAGTCACGGCAGCCAAAGCCTTGCTCCTTGAGAGCTCACCCAGTTCGACACTTCGTGGTCACCCTGGGTGAAAAACATGCACCAGCACACTGGCTGAAGCGCTGAAGCCCTCCGGGCTTCGCTCCCATCCCCATGGACTGACCAAGGAGGCAAGGAGAGGAAGATAAAGCTACTCCATGCAAATCGTGGAACACCAACTTGCAGGGGGAGTATGGTGCAGATTAAGTCATGCAAAGAGGATGTTTCCGCTCAGTTGGCCAACACAAAGAGGGAGCCATCGTGCTCCATCTGACGGATGCAGGCGAGATCGCTGGCGAGCACGGCAGGATCGGAGTGCACCAAGACACACATTCCGACGAGGCTGAAGAGATCAATGGTCTTCTCCACTCGATGACCGGCATGAAGGTTCTCCTCCAGAAATACCACAGACTGGAGCTCTCGAACCTTCTGGAACTGCGTGGCTTCCACCTGGCCATCATGGTACGACACCAGCATGGACACCTGCCCAGAGGCCCGAAACGCAGGCGGCACATCCGGAAGGCCATTGAAGGCCTTGGCATCCAGAAAGGCGTCCACGCACGCATCCACCTGCGTGTAGCCCGCCATGGCTCGCGCCAAGGGCATCCAAGAACCCGCCGCGCCATGGCAACGGCTGTTGACTTCCACCAGGCAGGGTCCAGTCTCGGTCATCATCACCTCCGTGTGAGTGGCGCCGTTGGTGATGCGCAAGGCATCCAAACAGCCGCGAGTGTAGGCGATGAGTTGCTGGGCTACGGGGCTGTCGGGCAAGACGCACTGCTGCCCGAAGCACACGAAGCCCGCGCCGTTGGCAGGGCGACGGTCGTAGACCCAGACCATGGTGGTCTTGTGCACGCCATCACGGGAGACATGATCCACAATGTATTCCGTGCCCTTGAGATACTCCTGCAACAAGACGGCGGCGCCCTGGGCGCCACACTTGCGCTGAGATGTCATGAGCAGTTGGAAGTGCTCCTCCACCTCTGCCAGGCTGTGGCAAAGCTTCACCCCATCAGAGCCAGCAGACTCCACGGGCTTCACGATCATCGGCAGCACCTCCGTCTCTGCAAAGTCCTTCACTTCCTGCCAGGCCCTGCCACACACTGAGCGCACCGAGCGCAGGCCGAAGTCCCTCACAGCGTCCTGCTGCACCTGCTTGTCGCGGCGGTTCGCCATGCCGCCGGTCGTGGTGTTGCCCCGCAGGCCCATGTGCTCTGACAAGGCGTCGGCCAATTTCACCCCAGTCTCACCTCCGCAGATCATCGCCAGCGGCTCTTCTCCGGCCGCCTTGCGCAGCACGAAGGCGGTCTCAGCCAGAGTGTCTTGCTCGTCCACCTCTGCCAGGAACTTCTCTGGGAAACCCTCGGCCGCCTTGGGCAGGTGCCAGCGGTTCTCGCCACACTCCTTGGTCCACAGGGCAATCACGCCATAGCCTCGGAGGTCCAACTCGGGTGCCAGCATGGCTCCCGTGGAGTAAGGGTCCACCAGCACCACGCAGCGAGACGCAAACTCCATAGTTTGACCCCGGCACATTGTGGCTGAAACGGAGCGGACGGAGTGGACAGAGCAACAAGATTCTCTTGAGCAAGACTCTCTGGATGCCTTATGGGCCTTATGGCTATGCAAGGCTAGCAAGACTAGGGCCTCTTTCTGTTGGCGTTTGGGCTGCAATCAAACTGCTTGGGGGAAGTTCCTTCATCAAGCATCTGATATCAATAGGAATGTTACCCATTTTCCGACACCAGTTTCCAACAATCCCCAGGGGTACACCTCGCTGACTCAAACAAGCTTGATGGGCACACAGACAACAACAGAAGGTCTCGCTCACACTGCGGCATGCAACATGTCTGTGAGCAAAAAATGATGGACTTGGGCGTCCTCTGGCTATCCTTTGTTCTAACTCCAGGGGCTTGGCATTGGCTCCAAACTTCAACCGAAGCCTGTACAAGCTCCTGACGTGCCCTTGCAAGCCATAGAGTCACGGCAGCCAAAGCCTTGCTCCTTGAGAGCTCACCCAGTTCGACACTTCGTGGTCACCCTGGGTGAAAAACATGCACCAGCACACTGGCTGAAGCCCTCCGGGCTTCGCTCCCATCCCCATGGACTGACCAAGGAGGCAAGGAGAGGAAGATAAAGCTACTCCATGCAAATCGTGGAACACCAACTTGCAGGGGGAGTATGGTGCAGATTAAGTCATGCAAAGAGGATGTTTCCGCTCAGTTGGCCAACACAAACAGGGAGCCATCGTGCTCCATCTGACGGATGCAGGCGAGATCGCTGGCGAGCACGGCAGGATCGGAGTGCACCAAGACACACATTCCGACGAGGCTGAAGAGATCAATGGTCTTCTCCACTCGATGACCGGCATGAAGGTTCTCCTCCAGAAATACCACAGACTGGAGCTCTCGAACCTTCTGGAACTGCGTGGCTTCCACCTGGCCATCATGGTACGACACCAGCATGGACACCTGCCCAGAGGCCCGAAACGCAGGCGGCACATCCGGAAGGCCATTGAAGGCCTTGGCATCCAGAAAGGCGTCCACGCACGCATCCACCTGCGTGTAGCCCGCCATGGCTCGCGCCAAGGGCATCCAAGAACCCGCCGCGCCATGGCAACGGCTGTTGACTTCCACCAGGCAGGGTCCAGTCTCGGTCATCATCACCTCCGTGTGAGTGGCGCCGTTGGTGATGCGCAAGGCATCCAAACAGCCGCGAGTGTAGGCGATGAGTTGCTGGGCTACGGGGCTGTCGGGCAAGACGCACTGCTGCCCGAAGCACACGAAGCCCGCGCCGTTGGCAGGGCGACGGTCGTAGACCCAGACCATGGTGGTCTTGTGCACGCCATCACGGGAGACATGATCCACAATGTATTCCGTGCCCTTGAGATACTCCTGCAACAAGACGGCGGCACCCTGGGCGCCACACTTGCGCTGAGATGTCATGAGCAGTTGGAAGTGCTCCTCCACCTCTGCCAGGCTGTGGCAAAGCTTCACCCCATCAGAGCCAGCAGACTCCACGGGCTTCACGATCATCGGCAGCACCTCCGTCTCTGCAAAGTCCTTCACTTCCTGCCAGGCCCTGCCACACACTGAGCGCACCGAGCGCAGGCCGAAGTCCCTCACAGCGTCCTGCTGCACCTGCTTGTCGCGGCGGTTCGCCATGCCGCCGGTCGTGGTGTTGCCCCGCAGGCCCATGTGCTCTGACAAGGCGTCGGCCAATTTCACCCCAGTCTCACCTCCGCAGATCATCGCCAGCGGCTCTTCTCCGGCCGCCTTGCGCAGCACGAAGGCGGTCTCAGCCAGAGTGTCTTGCTCGTCCACCTCTGCCAGGAACTTCTCTGGGAAACCCTCGGCCGCCTTGGGCAGGTGCCAGCGGTTCTCGCCACACTCCTTGGTCCACAGGGCAATCACGCCATAGCCTCGGAGGTCCAACTCGGGTGCCAGCATGGCTCCCGTGGAGTAAGGGTCCACCAGCACCACGCAGCGAGACGCAAACTCCATAGTTTGACCCCGGCACATTGTGGCTGAAACGGAACGGACGGAGTGGACAGAGCAACAAGATTCTCTTGAGCAAGACTCTCTGGATGCCTTATGGGCCTTATGGCTATGCAAGACTAGCAAGACGCCCAAAAGGCAGGGGTCCTTATCATTGGCGCATGGTTTTCGTTGAACGCCGCGCCAAATGGGGCCCCAGGTTTTGAACATTACATACCTTCACCACTCTGTCAGAGGGGCGCGACGGGATGCTGCAAACAGCCGCAATGTGCATTGCTCACGTCAAGAGGCACGTGGCCGGCATCCCACCCGAAGAAATCATGACCAACAGCCCAACGCCTGACAGCAGTGGTCCAATGGTCCAACCCCAAAACCATCACTCACCTTCTCAAAG